TGATTTTATCAAAGGCCTTCTGACAATCTTTGGTCCAACTTGTTTCAGCATCTTTTCTCAACATTTTGAAGATGGGTTCACATATAACTGTGGACTGGGCTATGAAGCGACTGATGTAGTTGAGGCGTCCTAGGAAGCTCATCACGTCCTTCTTGCTCTTTGGTGGTGGTAACTCTTGAATAGCCTTAACTTTGGACAGGTCCAACTCGATTCCTCGGCGGCTGGCAATGAATCTCAACAGCTTTCCTGCGGGAACCCCGAATGCACATTTTGCGGGGTTCAATTTAAAATTGTACCTCCTTATCCTGTCAAAGAACTTTCTCANGTTCTAAGAATCAAAGTTGAAAACAGGAGATAGTTTTAAGAAAATAGTTTGGGTTTTTCAAGAGGTAAGGAGCAAATAGAGTCATTCAACACTTCGAAAAAGTTCCAGCAATCCAACAGCAGACAGAAACAGGATCACTTCAAGCAAAGTTTCAACTTAGTTTACTAGTTGTTACTAGGTGGGCATATAGACAGGTATTAAACAAAGAAATGGCATGCTGGGATCAGATTACCAATCAGACAGTCATATACAAAGGGGTAGCAAGGATTGGGAGCATGGAAATTATTAGTCTGTTAGGGGGTGAACACTTAAAACAAGGCAGGAAACATGCCAGTTGAGAAACAAGTAGACATGGATCTAATTTACATATAAGCAAACATGTAAACATGTTGAAAGCAGGAAACACATAGATTTGATTAAACATAAGTACACAGGCTGATTACAAGGAAACACATAGGTTAAACAAAAGTAGACATGTTGATTACAAGGAAACCATAGGTTAAACAGAAGTAGACATGCTGATTACAAGGAGACACATAGTCTTAATTGAATAGCAGTAAACATGCTGATTAGGAACATAAAGCACAGGGATCTAATGAGATAAAAGTAGACATGCTGATAACAGGATACATAGGTTTAATTGAATAGCAGTAGTGGAGGCATACCAGTTAAGAGATAGCAATAGAAGAGTAAAGCAAACAGGGTCCAAAGGTCTAGCCTTGGCTTCCAGCCGGCTAGACAGTGCAACAAACAAAGAGTAGAAGATTGTGATAGAAGAAGAGAGCAAGAACTTTGTGTGTCTTTCTATGTCTGTGTACGTGTGTGTTAAAGAAAAAGAGTGAGGCTTATATAGCATTGAGTAGAGTAGAGTAAATAAGGTAAAACAGTTTAAAGGTTTGCAAATAAGGCAAAGAAAACAATCAGTCAATCAATTAGGCAAAAATCATGGGATTATATCCAAAAATAACTCGGAATTGAGGTCTAAATAAGGTAAGTGGTAAGTCTAATAGCCAATTAGGGTCAGAACATTAAAAATCCGGCAAGTAACAAGCAATTAGTCACACAAATAAGGTAACACAAGTAAATTAGTGACCAATTCTGGAGTTGGTAAGTCAATCAGCCCACGAATTAAGCTTAGCAGGAACAATTAAGACAAGTAGTACCAATTAGGAGTCCCAAAAATGAGGAAAGTAAATAAAATTACAGGAAGTAATCACCTCAGTAAACAAAGCAAATTTCAAACCCTAAACAGTTTAGGTAATCAATCAATTACTCAAGAATCACGGGCAAATATTGAGGCGAGTAATGAAATAATCAATCAAACTAAAAACTGGAACTCAGTCATGAAAGAATCAGTAGAAAAAGATAATCAAACACTAGGAATTTTTTGAAAAGTTTCGCAGAAACAAACGAAGTGAAACCCTAGTTCTCTAGAGAACATTAGGATCGATTAACAGCAAGGAAAATAGAAGATCTTTAAAGAAAAATGCTATAGGAACTCGAAATCTTTTCTGATCCAAAGAGATTTGAGCAGCAAATAACAAAGAAGCAAAACCCTAATCTAGAGGGATAGTAAAATCGATTAACAATAAAGAGAACAAGAGATTTTAAACGAAAACTACTGGATAAACTCAAAATCACTCCAGATCTACAAAAATCTGAAAAGATTCACATTGAAAAGATGAAGGTTTTGAGAAAAGGGCAGGGTAAAGGGAAAAATCTAACCATAGCCACAAAACCAACGAGACTCACAAACGTTGATTAACACAAGGCGGTGTTCATAAGGAAACGAAAAGCCTAGGTCGACTCTGAGTCGAACCTCTTCGATATTCCCTCAAAAAACAACGAGAATCGAACATCCAGCAGAAGTAATAGGTTAGATAGGGTAGCAAAACCCCAAATAACCCCATATTAGGTCAGGGATCGAAGGGATTTGGGAGGTTTAGGGGTGACAGCGCATCTAGGGTTTAGGTGGTCTTAGAGAGAAGAGAGAAGATGAGGGATTCAAGGGCGGCGGGGTGTAACAAATGACTAGGGTTAGGGGGTCGTTTGGGTTAAAAAAGGAAAGGGTGATCGTGGACCGTTGATCTCAGAGATCAACGGCCACGATTAGAAGGGATTTGGGTCGGGTAGAGGTCGTTTGGTTTTGGGCTGGGGTGATTTGGGCTTAGGTTAATTAAATTGGGCTGGGAGGGTCCGATTTTGGATACAATTAAGGGGCTATTTATTAAATACCCAATTTATTAATAAAATAATTTTAAAAATAGCTAATTAAATGATATAAAATGATTTTTGTGCATGAGAGTGATTTTAAATAATTACTTAATATTATAAAAATATAAAAAGTTATTTTCTGTATAGGTAATGTAGTTATGCATATGTATGGGCTATTATTACAAAATATGCACTTATAGTCTTAAAAAATATAAACATAATTGTAAAAAATGCAATTAAAATATTTGAACACTCATATGAGTATAAATGATGAATTTAGATGACTACATCATTGTAAAGTAATATGAGGGATAATTATTGAATATTTATATAATTAAAAGTGCAGAAATAAATTGATTTAAGGCCTTTAAAACTTATAGAAAAAGTTGTAAAAATACTTGTGCAAGTTTGTAAATGCATGTACAATATTTTGAAAGTATGTATGCATGTTTAAAAATATATGAGGGAAAAATTGGGTATCAACAACAACAATGGTATGATGTATCAATAAACAACAACTGAGACTGAGATATGATATGAATGCATGAATATGACTGAGTAAGAAATATCAATGAAATCAGTAAGATGACAGCAATAAACGACCACTATGGGTCCTGACAATATCAGGATAAAGTCTAAACATGATATCTAGCATGATTGACAGCTCAGTTACTTTATCACATGATGAGAACACAGATATCAGCAAAGTAGGGTCATTATGCAGCATCATGGAAACAATGGAGTCACAATTCATAGGGTGGACGCCCATACGCCCGTCACCTAGCATGTGTGTCACTTAATCATCAATCACATACCACGTCATTCAGGGTTTCATACCCGTAGCACTAAGTTTAGAAGAGTTACTTACCTTTAACAAGCAAATTCCAATACCGAACAAGCCAAGCGATGCTCCAAGAATGCATCTGTAAGCACGTGATTTTTGCCCTACCTGAAGATAACTCCTAAAAATAGACCAAAAATAATTTTTTATTGGTTTTTAGGAATTTTTCTTTATTTAGTTGCATTTATTGCATTTTTAATATTTTAAAATCATAAAAAAATCAAAGAAAAATTGTCATGTTTTAATTTCATGCCGTCTTAGGTTTAATTTGTATTTAGGAATTTAATTTCATAAGTTAATTGCATTATCAACAAAAATCACAAAAATATACATTAGCTTTAATCATTTAGTTAATCAGGTCTTTTTGCAAAAATAAATTCAATTAGAATTAATGTGGCCATTTTTTAAAGATCCAATAATAAAAAAGGGGGTTTAGTTTTGCCTTAAATTTATAATTAGGTTAGAATTCAAATTGACCCAATTCCCACAAACCAAGCCCAATACCCTACCCAATACCCTCTTGGCCCAAACTATTTTTTATTAAAAGGCAAGAACTAGACCTAAGGGCAGGAGATTTTTCCATACAATGAGAGACCCCTAAACCCCCGTACACAAAAAACGGCGCATCTGATAATTGGAGGGGCTTCATCTCCATTGTTGGGATAAGAAAAAGAACAGACCCTTGGAAAATGGGCAGCTCCTCTCTTCTCCATCACCCATCTTCAACAATACACTCTCTTACACACGCCTAAGCCCTAGTAGCAGCTGAAAATCCTAGAATTCCAGATCTAAATTTCAAAAATTTAAAATCTCAAAAACAAACAACAAAACCGAACCAAAAAAAAAGTTACAAAATTTATTCAAGTCTCAGTTTCCCATGCTTTATATTCTCTTGAAAAGCTTAATCAAGTTGTAAAGACCTTATTTGGCCAATTTCGCTGCTGATGTTGTCTGTCTCATCGCTGAGCTCCCTGCTCCTTTCTTGACTTTTATTCGGGCTAATTTCGCAATGTATTACTACTGATTGAGGTATGGATTTCAGTCCAAAAATGATGTAATTAATTCTGAATGTCATCTTCTCTGTGATTGTTTTGTTGGAATTCACACTCGATTCCATTCTTTCTTATGTTTGGATTGAAAGTAGTAAGGCATTATTTTGATTCCTTTGAGATATAAGAACATAGAATTGTTTGATTCCTTTAAGCTAAATCTTAATCATGTTAGGTTGGGTGTTTGTTGGTAAAATTCTGTGCATTGGGTACTGTTGCTATCGTTGGTTTCATGTTTAGTTTTGAATTGTTTGGCACTTTCATGGTTAAACATTTTGATGGCTAATCCATTTTGTACCTGAGTTTGTTTTTCCAGTAGGGATGGCAAATAGGGCAGGGCAGGGTAGGGCGGGGCGGGGCAAGCTTCGACCCGCTAAAATTTTGACCCGCCCTGCCCTGCCCCATTTAGCCTTTTGTCAAAATTTTGCCCTGCCCCGCCCCGCCCTATTAAGCCCTGCCCCGTTTAGACTCTTTTTTATTTTTTTCTCGTTATTTTTTAATTTCTTTTACCTTTTCAACTTAAAGGAAAAAAAGACGAACAACATAAAGCAAAACTAAAATAATCCTAACTTTAGCCCATGTTAATTAAATTGCTGATACATAGGCCATATTCATGTGGTAATTTCACTGTTTCTGCACTCAAGTAGTCAAGTGCCTTAGACCAAGCTGGCCTTGCCAAGATATCAGCACACCAATCGCTAACATGAGGTCTACAATCAAACAAACTCTTAACTTTAGTCCCCATCAAATAGTTAACAATAGGTATATGGTGCAAATCTGCTAGTGTGAAACTTTCTCCACCCAAATATTTTGACTCCTTAAGTCTTGATTCGTACACATCAAGAACTTTGCCAAGTTTTTCTTCATTCTCTGTCACTGTTGCTTCATCTGTTGCCACGCCGAAGAATAATGGCTTAAGAGCTATCTCAAAGGTTAGATTAAAACCTGGAGCAAATTCTGATCAAAAAAATCTACACGTATGTGTTGTAGTTCTTGTGAAAATTGAGAAACCTATAAGAGGTCATTTGGTTAATGGGTTGTTGTCCTCTAATACATACTTATTGCCCTATCCCTCGCCCTGCCCATTAACTATTTTTAGAAAATGTGATTTCACCGCCCCGCCCTGCCCTGCTCCATTAAGACTTTGCCCTGCCCTGCCCCATTAAGTTTTTTGCCCCCCCGCCCCGCCCTGCCCCGCCCCATTTGCCATCCCTATTTTCCAGTATCATTTGTTTAAATGGGTTAGTTCGTCCTTTTGTGGTAATTGGTGCTTCAATGTATAATTAACTAAAAGTTATTTTTTTTGGTTTTTTGTTCAAATGTTGGTGAGATAATTTGTGGACAAGGAAGTTTACTGATTGTTTCATATCTCAAAATGATTTCTTTTTCAGTTGAATTTTTCTATTGAGATTAAATTGTGCAAGGTTTTGGGGAGCTCATCATGTCTTAAGTCTCCTGGCTACTGCAAACCGTATGCTTCCATTATCCAAATGTGTTGTCATGTTGATTGAAACTTTTGCCATTCATTGTTTTGTTGGAATTGTCTTGATATTAGATGTAAATTGAGGCGTGCCATGCCAAATCAAATCATAAAAATGCGTGGCCCTCTCTAATTATGCCTTTAAAATTCTTAAAACTCGGGATGTACCGTTTAGTGAATTTCACAGTCTCCCGCAAAGATAATAAATACGTTAGTTGCTTTAGGTCCATTGCTTAAATAATTTTACATTCCTAAATACGGGTGCACATTTATGTGACCCAAATCCAAATCTCAACGAAGTCGAAATGTGTCAAAAACCACGGGTGCATTTATGTGACTTGGTTCGAGACGCGTTTTCACGACGTTGCAATTCTCTTTAAAAAAATAATAATAGAAGTGGTTTAAAGTTAAAAAGCGCATAAGTTAAAACATGTATTAAAATCAGATTTTTAGCCAATTATAATAATTTAAGCGACCGTGCTAGAACCACGGGATCCGGGGGTGCCTAACACCTTCCCTCGGGTCAACAGAATTCCGTATTCAGAATTTCTGGGTCGCAGACTCCAACTGGGAAGTCGAAATGTTCCTCGATTTAGGATTCAAGTTAAACCGGTGACTTGGGACACCAAAAGCCAATCCTATCCCAAGTGGCGACTTTAAAAAATAATAAATAATCCCATTTCGAATAATGTCACTTTAAATGGAAAAACTCCCTTATACTTTATCCTTCGGGGTAGGTGTATAAAAAAGCAGGTGTGATAGCTCTGGCGACTGTGCTGGGGATCGAACCCAGAATTTCGATTCAGGGTTCAAGAATTCGAGCTTAGTATAATTGTTATATTTGGCTTTATCTGATTTTTCTACATGTTCCATGCTATATGTGCTAAATGTTTTACCGCTTTGATATTATCTGAATTTTATATATAAAATTGTTACGAAACCCTTCTCTTCTCACCTCCGGGGATGTGCTTGCTGGTTGAGACTCCCTATGCTGTTAGTGTCATACCCTGAAATAAGAAAGAGGCTCGGACAAGTTACTAAGCCGGACGATCTTGCGGGTCCCCGGTACTTAGCCCCCTCCTCGACTCGAGTTGTCCGCTCGGGTACACAGTCTAGAACAGATGCCCAGGTTTTGAACCTAGAATAATTTGACCTCATGCCGGATCCCTAGTAGGAACGTTTGTTTTCATCATGTGCATTTGCCTTAGGGGACTCAACACAGGGGTTGGGTCCGTCTAGGACAGGTGACCTGAAATGAATTGACCATCCTGATGCATCTTACGTGCTACTTGCGCATTTATTTGCTCGGCTTTCCATGTTTGACCGGCGTGTATATAATGAGAAAATTGAGGAAAAATAGCAGTGTAAGACTCAATGAGGATAACCTTTTGTTGTGAAAAACCAATGCCAAAATAGTACCGAAATGCTACCGGATTTTTGAAAAGTGAAAAGAAAAAGAGAAAAATATTTGAAAAATAGGTAGAAAATTGTTGTTCAAAATAGTTTTGATTTTGGCAAATCTGCCCGAACTACGCTGGTTTGATTCTCACCGGATGTGAGATACGTTGGCAACCCTCATCGGGTCCAACCACCCTTTTGCAAAAATAGCCAAAATACCAAAATTATAATTTTTGTCAAAATAAGTCGGGTGATGCCATTCTTATTTTAAAATAAGCCGAATGTCCTCAAAAGGACGCCGGAAGGCTATTTTTACAAGAACAGCCACCTTGTGTCATTTTCAATGGTTAGCGGGCACAACCTTAAAATCTTCTTTCCCCAAGTGCTGAAAGGCCGTATCTGCAAAACCGAGTCTTTGTTTGCTTAAATAAAATTTTTGAAAAATATCCACTTTTCCTTTTAGGTTGAAATAAATCATTAAAATACTCCTGAGATGTCTTTCTTTCATAAATAAATAAAAAAAATATAAAAAAAAAATTTGAAAAATTGAGTCCGAAAATATTTTTTCTCAAAAATCCAAAACGTTTTTCGTAAGCGTCCCTTTTCCGAAAATTAAGAGGCAACTTTCAAAATCCAAAAAATATATTTTTCTTTCGTGTTTAGAAAATAAATGAAAATTCAAACAAAAATATTTCTTTCTACTTCTAAAATTCCCAAAGTTCCAATAAAAAGAGAAGGAATGTCTTTTTAGAAGTCTTTCTTTCAAAAAACAAAAAGAAAAATCAAAATCGAAAATCAAAATCAAAATATTTTCCTTTTTTCTTCTAAAGCATTTCTTTCAAAAATTCAAAAAAAGAGTTAGTTTCTTTACCTTATTTGCAAGAACTACGCTTGGTCTGATTCATGCGGGGTCATGATACGTAGGCAATCTCCATAGGATTCGACCGTAACCCTAAAAAAAAAGAAGAAAAAAGAGAAAGAAATATGAGGGAAGGAAATAAAGGAAAAAACAAGAGAGGAAAAGAAACGCAAAAGAAGAGAATAAGGAATCGAGAGAAAAACCACGGCAAAAGAAACAGGAAAAGCAGAAAATGAAAATCAGAGGGAAAAGAAAAATGAGAGAAAAATAGAAAGAGAAAGAAAAGCAAGAAAAACAAAGAGTAGAAATCAAAAGAAGAAAAGATGTCGGGATGACGCATGCAAGCAGTGCAAGCATGTAGACATCCGTTTAACTGTATAGGTGCATCACACCCCAATGTGCGATTACCTATCTGTTACTTGTCTCAAACTAACCGTGTGTTGCTGTTAATTCCAACCTAGCATTTAGAAACGGTGGTTGGTTGTGGTAAGCTGGCATTGCATCAATACTTTACCAGATCAAAAGGAAGTACAGAAATGTCGTCTGAAATGACTTTGCCACCAGTTCTCATCACCGAAGACAGCCCCATTTCAGGGATCCCAGCCTTCGAGTCTGCCACAGCTGAAGAAAATCGGATATTACGTCTCCGAATGATGGAGATGTGGGACGCATGGACTAATGGCAGGGAGCCTCCAAGTGCTATCCCTGGCTTTCCTGAATTGTTCCCGAGTACTGGGGGTACTTCTAACATCCCTATCAGTCACCCAAATACCCCGTCTGCTCACTTCATAGGAACACCTTCTGAGGTACGCCCCCAGGTGTTCACCTCAGGAGCAGCTCCTAATATTTTCACTGCTCCACCATGCTCTGCTACAACACAACCTTCACTGCCAAGGCCCGCCTTTGATCCCTCAGCTTTCACCTTCCAAAACCCGGTCTTTCCAGTGGATCCTTCTCAATATCCCACATATAATTACTCTCAGCCACCACCATTTGAGCTTACGCCAGGACAAGATCAAACTCCCAAAGCTCCTGAACAAGATGAGATGGCGAAAAGAATGAGAAGTCTTGAACAGAGTTTAAAGAATATGCAAGGTTTGAGTGGACAAAAGAGTGTTTCTTATACAGATCTGTGCATGTTCCCTCACGTGCACTTGCCCATGGGTTTTAAAACGCCGAAGTTCGAGAAGTATGACGGGCACGGCGATCCCATTGCTCACCTTAAAAAGTATTGCAATCAGTTGCGTGGGGCTGGCGAAAAAGAGGAGTTGTTGATGGCATACTTCGGAGAAAGCTTAGTAGGCATTACCTAAGAATGGTATATGGACCAAGATGTCTCACGATGGCACATTTGGGACGCTCTTGCCAGAGATTTTGTAAGGCAGTTTCAATACAACATAGACATTGCGCCAGATAGGAACTCCTTGGCGAATTTGAAGAAAAAGCCCTCAGAAAATTTCAGGGAATATGCTATTAAGTGGCGTGAGCAAGCGTCGAGGGTGAAACCTCCAATGGATGAAGTGGAAATGGTCACCGTATTACTTCAGGCCCAGGAAGCAGATTATTTCCAGAACATGATGCCAGTCATGGGCAAACCTTTTGCAGAGGCTATTAAGATCGGTGAGATGGTGGAGAATGGTCTGAAGACAGGCAGAATCTTGAGCCAGTCAGCCATTAGGGCAACCTCCCAAGCCATTCAAGGCTGGTCTGGAGGGATGGCCAAGGGTAAACAGAAAGAAGAAACGTTATGGCAGCATCAGGGGCAAGAAGACACCGGGCCCCTAGACCCATCTTCTCTGAAAGAACCCCTCAACATCACTACCCTCACCATGACATGGCTTATGCTCCTCAACCGTATGCGGTCATGAATGCTCAACCCTTTGCTCGGCCGCAACCACATGCCAATAGAAACCAAGCTCCATTTCAAAGAAATCAGCCTCCTCACCAAAACCACTATAACCCCCGCCCTCCACAAAATAACTTCCATCCTCGGGAACCACCCAGGAGACCAAACTTTACACCAATCGGTGAACCATACTCCAGTCTGTTCCCGAAGCTTGTTCAAATGAATTTGCTGCAGCCCATACCCCCAAACAGGCAAAACCAGAATCACCCTCCTATCAGCGGGGCGTCCGATGTGCTTACCACTCAGGAGCTGAGGGGCATGATATAGAAAACTGTTGGACGTTGAAAAGAGCCGTGGAAGACTTGATAGAGCAGGGGAAGATAGTGCTGAGGGACGAGGAGGTCCCAAATATGACCAACAATCCTTTGCCAGCCCACAATAATGGACCTGTGATTGGAATGATCTGTGAAGATAAAGAGTTCGATCCGGCATTAAAGGCTATC